ACACTGCTCAGTCGAGTTAAATCCGTTGAATGACTTCTCACTCGAAGTTGGACTAACCTAGTTGGACTATTTGTCCCAGGTAAACATATTCGTCAAAAACTTCAGAGCGTAGTGCTCTCAACTACTAATGTGGTGAAGAGTCGGATATAAAGTCACCTGTCTTAGACCTATCTGCAATTGGATGGGTTTCGTACTCTGGTTCTGTACCCGGATATCTGTAGTTCTTCAAATGAGCATTGTCACTTTTTTTGAAGAACAAGACCGGAGTACTGAAACCATGGAGGACGGGATTGAAGAGGTTCTGAAGCACTTCAAATACAGGTTTTCCATTTTACCGTTTTTAAGGTGCTGGAGAGCCATTCTAATATCGTTTTAATATCCCTTCACCTCCTCATAGGGATTTACCAAGGTTGGTGCGTAAAACCGTATGACCGTCGACGAATACAGTTTGGTGATTCTGAGTATAAGGTACGTAACCCTCGTCGACACACTACCAATCTTTACAACGTTGTTGACGAGAAACTTGTGGACGATAAATCCGACACTTCTTTAGGACAGTAGTAGAAAAAGTTGCGATGACTGCAGTGTCCATAACCTCTTTTCGGACCTCAGATAATCCTATAATATCCCAGCGCAAATTGTTTATCTCTTCTTCCAGCTACAGGATCTTCTCGTCAGTCTTCTTGGTGCGTGCGTTAATTGTTGCCACGTCGAGTCGTCTTAGGTGGCAACCAAAATCTCTAGAACCGAGCCTCCTTCTTAGCAACTTCTGCCCCGACGTCACCATGGTCACCATCGTAGCCACGAATAGCGGGGTGGCCGGAGACTAGGGGCCATTTATTATCACGAGGAAATTCTCGCTATAGTTGCCACGCTGAATGAGTGAACTCAGTGACTCAGTTTTCCTTTGTCGCCACTTACGTCACCAACGGGAAGATGTGGGGTAGTGGATATTCTTTCATCGCCACTACACGGCATTTGGAGTGGTTTAACGCGAATAATAATTAGCAGTATAAATAGTATTTATTTGTAGCATTATTTGTATTATTTTTTAAATACATAACATCATAATATTATTATTCTTACTTCAACAACTATTTTATGGAATAAGGGTTGCAAACGAGCACACAGTCCTCCTGATAGCCAGTGGACGCTGTAGACGTCGTAAGTATCATAATTCTACAGTATGACCACACACAAATCGCACGGTAGTGGATCGCCAAAAATCGAGATGATGAGGATAAAATTTCGAGTTCTACCGCAGTGTACGATGGTGGAATTAAGCAGTTGAAATTAATCAAAGCCAAGATGCACAGAGATACAACGTCTCTTAGCAAAGCCATTGGATAATGGAGAACCAAAAGAACTTGGTTGGCGACCTTTCGGAGCGGATCGTTGAACGCGCTCAAGTGGAAGGGGCTGATACTGGGGTGCCGGGCCGAGAGAAGAGAACAGTAGTATTACCTCCATACATTTCATTCATAAGCACGCACGCCTGTAGCCCAGAGGGATAGGCAGAGACTACGGACTTCCATTTGGCATGATCTTGACACACCTCTCTCGACGCCTTCACATCCATATACCTTCGCATACAAGCTCGTCGGTTAAGAGTACTCTTGATTTGGCCCATTTTCAATATATCGCCAATTTGGTCGATAAACTTTAACTTAGGGCGTCCCTTTCCGACTCTGCCTCTATCTGAATAGCATTATGATGTATATTATTCATGATTATATTATGTAAGTACAGATAAAGTAAGTAAAGTAAATAGAACGCTAATGTTCATAGCATTTCGCGATGGTAATACATTGAAAAAGCGTTAGTTGCACGACATACGTGCAAATCGTCGTGAAAGGTTAAAAATAGAGGAAATTTATAAAATAATGCCTTATTCGTTAAATTTGTCTATTTTTATACATAAACTTTAGTAAATATTCTTTAAATAGGTTTATTTATACCATGACACTACTGAGATACTGCTTTAATGATAGATAGCTCTGATAACAAAACACGGTATGCGATTAGATATTCGTAACCAAAATATAAAATGATATTTTACGTTACATATTATTCTTAGATTTATAAAAATTTTTTGTAGCAAAATATAAACATGTGCTGTGAAATAATCTAGAAAGTGGATTAATATAAAGATTAAATTCTAGATCATTAGGGCTTCAAAATAACCAGTTTATTATGTCTTGAGGTGGCGACGTAGTAGAATCTATAACCCCTTTTTATTCCGTTCGTTTCATAAGAGGCTACATAGAAATTGCCTGAAAGATCCCATTAGCTCCGATTAACAGCGTCCGTCTTTTCATGAGAGAAATTTGCTGTTTAAGATAAATTTAATACAAAACATTGCTTCCTAGGTCGAAGGCAGAAAGATTATACCGAATGTAAGTGACATATAATATTTTTCATAACACACCATGATATCTTGTCTAGAACTTGGAAAAACAAAAAAAGGAATATCTGTGAATTTTGTACCACTTACTTGGGTTTGGAGTAGGGCGAAGACGGCGATGACATCTTGTGGTTCCGGTTAGGGTGCGTGTGGCGATTCGCGTTTGTGTCCAGGCCGCCGCCCGGCGATATCTTGCCGGCGAGTGCGTTCAGTGAGTGCAGCATGGCGGGCGGCGGCCGCTTAGTGCCGACGAGCCTGGTCACGGTGAAGACACGTCCCCGTTTGTGGTGAGTGCGGTCCTATTTGATGCCTTATCTGCTGATAAGAGGCGCGGGGGCAAGCCCGCCCCGCGCCTCATCGCCACCTGACACTGTCGCACACACACATATGCACACACCCGCGAGTTTTTTTTTTCTAATGTTTGCTCCCTTAGGTCTCGATTCGGGTCAGCGTCCTGTCCGGTCGGAGCATGTTCCCATCGTATTTTGGATATTGATAACACTACGTCAGTTTCACTATTAAATGACTATTTTTTGTCCTGTAGCTGACAAGGTATGAGCTATTGATGCGTGTTGCGATATTTCACTGTCAGGCGTATATTAAATTTTGCAGGCAATATGATTGATGTTACAGTATATTATATTAAGAATGCGGTGAAGACTATTCACGTTACATGATTGATTAGTTTACTACTGCTGTTTAAATGGAAATAATTATAACTCAAAGTGACGACCAGTTTTCCTTTACTACGTTTTCAGTTCTAAGCTATATTTAAAGTTTCAAGTTTCTTTAGCTCAACGGGAAGTTACGCGATATTTGTACCGAACAGATAAACAAGCAAACAGACAATAAAGTGAGTTTATGTTGCATTATCATCCAGTTCTGAGCTGTGTACTTAGAGTTTCAAGTCTAATAGCTCACAGGAAAATTAATTTAAAAGATGATTGCAAAATTTGTAGTGTATAAACTGAACGTTTGTTCATGCAGAGAGCTAATGAAAATGTTTTTAAAAATGAAAACACTATATAAGTCAGTTATGTGTACAAGAGAAATAGAAAACCATCAATGGAAATTTTATAATAATCTGACGTCCGTCAAGGCAGTCGAGTGTAAAATAAAACACAATCCGTTTACTTCCTAGGAGGTACCGAGCTGGAAGTGAGTCACTCGACAAAAGACAGTGAACGTGCCAAATAGGTCAGCTAGCGCCTGAACAAAAAGCAAAACACTGTTTATGTTCGACCCCTGATAATAATTTAAGTACAGGCGAATTGATAAATCGTTGTCGGATGTTTTGATAATTGCAATATGGATGAACCAGTGATACAATTCTGTCGTAACCACTTATATCTAAAGATACGAGCACCATTTTCAAAAATTTCACAAACAAGCTAACGGTTCACCTATACGGGTATAGCCATGCTGTAGCTATATAATGGTTGTAGCACCAATGGGTTGACCTGATTGGGGTAGGATCACGCTCTCACAAAATAGCTATAAATACATAATAGCTAAAACATGCAAAAAGTCGATGGATGCAGGTGGCTCAGGACCAGCAGTGGACTTGTGAAGGGCTGTAATGGCGAATTGTAGATGCTGTGTTTCGTATGGAAAGGATTTTGTCTATATCAGTTTTTGGGTTTCTTCTATAAGAAATTCGAAGTAACAGCCCGGAGTCAGGAAGTTGGCGGTGTTTCACTATCGTGCCTCGAAAGCACATAAAGCCGTTGGTTCTGCGCCTCATCTCTCTCTGGTCTCATCGAACAATAAAACTTATGCTAACAATTGGGCACTATAATCCTTTCCTCCGCAGATGGCTAGTTTCCGTCGAGACCGGCTACCGTGACCGAAATTTGTTCCAGAGGACATTATTGTTTGATATTGATGTATTGATAACCCCAACCATTTTCAAAAAAAGGATGTCATCAAAAACATAACTTGTAAAAAAACTAAGTCTCGCAACTCAGTTCTTCTATCGTAAAAAGTTGTGAGATCCATGTAATTAGTCGGTTAATCTAGGTAACAATTTTCACTTGTAGGAAAATTATGTCTAATTAGTAAACCGTGTGTTGATAACATGTAAAAATAATTTATTCTGTTAATGCGTTCATACAATTTTTCATTAGATTTTGGAATTATATCTATATTTATGTCACCGGTATATTTGTGTAAATATAGGTGTAAGTTCAATATTATTGATTTAAATATTACAGAATTGATTTGCACGAAAATTAAATTTTACGTATTCATTGCACATTTAAGCGTCACAAAATACCAGTGTAAAATAAGAGCTTAATGCTGCTGTGTTTCGTATAGTGAGTGTAGAGTTCCTGAGACCCTTTTTACTGGAAACGAGGACATCTTAGTCCTCAGGAACGAAAACGCTCTGGACTGCATTTTGATTCTTAATTGGTGATAAAGGAAAAAAAGCGTTAACTTAAATTTGTTAAGAAACGTTATTATAATTTCTTCTTGATATAAGTGAGACGAAATCCCTTCACTTACGGTGCAAATGTGCGAACGTTGTGTTACATCCTTTATAAGCCTTGGAATCTTTGGAGTACTAAATGAACCTCAAAACGTGAATACAATATTATTAGTTATAAGCTGTTGCTATTGCTTCAGGCAATGTAGTTATAATATCTGAATCACCAGGGTCATTAATGGCCTTTGTGATTATCCTATAATATTTAGCACATGCTGTACTAAATTCAATATTGTTTCCGCTGTAGTGGTGTACTCCTGTTTTTGCCAAAAGAGCGTAATACTCAATTTCAGATTTTCTTAGTGGAGGAGCATTTTTGGCAGTGACAAGCTTGGCTTTTCCTTGACGTAATGTTTTTAAGGTTTGCTTATACCCAAGGCAGTATTTGCCAGATTTCATAGCCAATGCCAATCTTGAGTCGATTGACTCAATGGCCTTTTTTTGTTTCTTCGCCGCAACCATTGTGGCTGAGAGAAAATACTATATGATCAAATGCTAGACAGAAAAGCATATTATGTTGACAATTCAACATTAAAATACCAAACTCATTGCAACTACCTCACAAAAAGCTAATAGGGAGGAAAAATTAATTAATATTTTGTTGTAGTTATTAGCTTTTTGTTCTATTATATTGAAATAGACAAATTTCAATAACAAATCTGTCTATCCTAGCTATTATATTATATATAGCCTATAAAAGTCCCCATAGATTGCCTTATAGGGATGATTTTGCAACATTTGCCACGCTTGGCGAGTGGGTTGGTTTTTTCACTATTTTCAGTTATTTTCGGGAAGATGTTACTGCCCATCACCTGTTTCAATTTCCCTCTCTCGCCACTTACGGCTCCCATGGGATGATATGGAGTAGTGGATATTCTTACACCGCCACTACGAGGTAACATAACGGATACTGGTATTTCGTAGTAATTTATTAATTTAAAAAAAGATTTTTTTATAGAATCACCCTTATTAGTAAGCTAGCACACAGCCCAGCTTATTTAGTTGATGCTGTGGCCTATAAACATCCATATCTATTCTTCATTAAGAATCAAAAGGACTGGAATGCCGTTAAATAATCAATCCATTAGTCGGAATTCATTAAGGTGTTGGCAAAAAAAGTTCGGTAAATTCAAGCACTAAGCCAACTCACTGGGTACTAATAATGTTCGTGCTATTATAAAAATTTCGTTGTTAACACATTGCATCGGCCGTTTGCCAAGCGTCAAGAACTACTGTTGGCGTGCCAAACGTCTATGTTCTTATTTCGTACTTAAGATTTCATTTCTCAAATAAAAATACCGACTTTTGTAAACAGGAAAGCTTTTAAGCTAAAACAAATTTTGTCAGCGATTTCATTTCCGACTGAAGTTTGTTCTTGGCAAGCTATTTAGAGCAAAACGTTCTAAGTTAGAAAATTCGGCTAAAAGCAAATATAAAGGATATGTGTAATGTAATTAAATGTAGTAAAAAGCCTTAGAAGCTCGGGGATTAAGGTCTCGCTATAAATTTCACAAAACGCGAGCAACTCGGATTCGATTTCCGTCGGTACAAATTAACAAATTTTAATTAAAAAAAAATACTCCTAAAAAGAGACACACCCATGTCATCATATAATTTCCGGGCTGACGAACAAGGAGCTTGCGCAAAAAATATACGTAAGTAATGCTTTTACTATAGGCTATAGCGATCAGTATGGCCAAAAAACTCTTTCAGAAACGTGTGCCACATAGCGCATTCTTGGAGATTTCTCTCAAAGTTACATAAGTATGCGCGAACAAATCACCAAGTACGAGTTTTTTTTTAAATCGTAAAGTTAACGTATTTGTATCGTAATTCACAAAACAAGTTCAAAGAACTCGATATAGTTACGAATTATCAAAATTTATGTCAGTCGAAATTAAATATTGTGTCACCAATAGCCATAGATTTGTCAAGAGTTTGTGCAACTTTACAATAACATTTTGAAAGTTAACGTAAGCGACTGGGAAATTTGACGCACTCACGACGTTGATCAAACTCCTATACAAAATTCGGTCGATAACGTATTGAATGCGTTTCTATAGGAATACGTAAAAAGGATGGATATTAAATAGGTACCAAAAAGTTTTTTTAAATTTAAATGACTGCAAATATTTTATGTGTACTGAAGTACATGTAAACTTATATAAGTGGTCTTAAGAATTTTAAGCAGGGAAACCGTTGCCTTTTTATTATGAAATGGCATGGGCATATTGTGCATGAAAGAAGCACGGGCTCAAGGCACCACCACCGTCGCGAATTATTATATGCGTTGCCTATTACATGAATGTAGGGTGTCCAGCAATTTTTGATTTAAATTGAAACAAAACACAATTTTTATTTCAAAAATATACATTTTTATATTCAAGACAGGTCTATAAAAGAATTTGGCTTTAGCACCATAGACCACATACATACCCTTCGGCAAATTGTATAGAAGTCCGTAGAGTACAATCTGCCACTTTGCCTGGCGTATGTGGACTATGAGAAAGCCTTTGATTCCGTCGAAATTTGGGCGGTGCTACAGTTCCTTCAGCGGTGCCAAGTTGACTGTCGGTATATCGAAGTGCTGAAGTGTTTGTGCAGTAGGACTACGATGGCTATCCGAGTACAGAACCAGAGTACGGAACCTATCCAACTGCAGAGAGGTGTAAGACAGGGTGACGTTATATCCCCGAACCTCTTCACTGCTGTATTGGAAGACGTTTTCAAGCTACTGGACTGGAAAGGATACGGTATTAACATCAATAGCGAGTACATCACTCACCTTCGATTTTTCGACGATATAGTCCTTATGGCAGAATCGCTGGAGGACCTCAATAGTGCCTCCCAACGGATAGGTCTTAAGATGAACATGGACTAAACAAAGATCATGTTTAATATCCATGTCGCACCTATGCCGGTAGTTGTTGGGAGCACTAAGCTCGAAGTTGTTGACGAGTACGTTAACCTGGGACATATAATCCAACTAGGTAAGTCTAACTTCGACCGAGAGGTCAATCGACGGATTCAACTCGGCTGGGCAGCGTTCGGGAAATTACGTTACATCTTCTCGTCAGGTATACCTCAAAACCTGAAAACGAAATTGTACAACCAGTGCGTGTTGCCAGTAATGACATATGGAACTGAGACGTGGTCCTTCATTGCCGGCCGTATGAGGACACTCAAAGTCGCTCAACGAGCTATGGAGAAGGCTATGCTCGGGGTTTCTCTGCATGATAAACTTAGAAATGAGGATATCCGCAGTAGAACCAGAGTGACCGACATAGCCCAACGGATTAGTAAGCTGAAGTGGCAATGGGCCGGCCATATAGCTCGAAGAACCGACAACCTTTGGAGAAAAAAGGTTCTCGAGTGGCAGCCTCGTACCGGTAGGCGTAGTGTAGGGCGACCCCCCACTAGATGAAGTGACGAACTGGTAAGACATGCAGGAAGTCGATGGATGCAGGTGACTCAGGAACGTGCTTTGTGGCGTACTTTGGGGGAGGCCTATGTTCAGCAGTGGACTTGTGAAGGGCTGTAATGATGATGATGATATTGCTCCATAAACGAGAAAACATAGACGATAAAAGTTGAAAGCAGGTTTTAAATAACAGTTGCAAAGCAACGTAATTCTGATTATTTATGTGATTATTACTATAATTTAAAAAAATGATACATTCCTACTACCTGAGGTATAATAGTGCAAAGAACGTTTATATCCTAAGTAATGATAACGGCGATGACAAGTCGCGAATACGATTCCTTTAGGAACATCACCGCACGTGGACCCGACGGACCGATAGTCTCCACAGCAAATAGCACAAATATTTTGTCCTTTCTCAGAGACTCACACTTGCGCTATTTACATAGTTTAGCGGCCTCTGATTCCGCTTGAGCTCTAAATGAGGTATTTCTAAGAGAAGAAGTTGCCCAAATGTCTATTTTATTAAATTTGACGTCATCTCTAGTTTAAACTAATTATCCCATTCATGAATTCATTACAACCCAACAAAAGTCCACTGAATATACGTCTCATCCGTAGACTATTGCAATATCCGTATATTTGCCACAGTTCCTATGTTTGGCTGGTTGACCCAACTAAAGTTTTTTGAAAAGTGCTGCTTTTTCCTTTTTGCCACTGACGACACTAGTTAATATACATAAACACTCACGCCAGTCACCCAGAGGGGTAGGCAGAGACTACAGACTTCCATATGGCATGATCCTGACAAACCTCTCTCGCTTCATCCACATTCATATACATACATGCTCGTCGGTTAAGGGTACTCCTTATTTGACCTATTTTCAATACATTGCCAATTTGGTCAATAAATTTTCGCCTAGGACGGCCCTTTCTGACTTTTCTATTCACTTCTGCAACATAAATTTGCTTTGTCACTCTTTCCTCATTCATTCTTACTACATAACCAAACCACCGAAGTATTCCTTTCTTAATCCTGGTCACAGCATCATCTTGCAAACCACACTCTTCTTTTATCACACAATTTCTCACCCTGTTACTCAGATTCAGCCCTATAATACTCAGCGACCTTATTTCTACTGCATTTATTCTGCTCTCGTGCTTCTTCTGCCTCACTCAACTTTCATTACCATACGTTAAAGTAGGGACTAACACAACATTGTGATTTGCCATACGTGCCTTTTTTGACACATTCTGACTTTTCACAATGGAGTATAGAACCCAATTAACTTTATTTCCTGCGTTCACTTGTTGTTCTATATTCTTATCATATCTCCCATCCCTGATAAATACACATCCCGAATATACAAACTCATCCACTTGCTTCACCAAGTCCCCTTCTATTCTTATACTGGTTAACTCATTTAAAATTTATAACCGAGTACGATTTCAGAATCTCATCCCACCAAAAAGCATGGAATATCTAACTAAATGAGGGGAATTTTTACTAAGCACGCGAAATCGACGACGTCACGAAAAGGGCGCTCACCCCTTCTAAACATTTTAGATACCTAATGAATGCGGCCGGGTGGAAGGAAAAAAATTCATGAATATGTGCTTGATTGGCATATTTCCCATTAAAAGTCCAGAAAATTATAGGTATTTTATTACTCCGAAATATTCAATACGGCCATAATTATTTTTATTGCCTTTATATTCAAATTCAGTGGAATTATTTTCAGGGATGTGAAAGTATTAAATGTTTGTGAAATCTAAAACTATAGTGTCAGAAGCTAGTAGAATATTTATCTGGGCTAACATTACCGTACTCTTACTGATTTTATTCCTACCGCTAAGAACGTCAAGCCTAAAAGATTGCTGAAGCCAACGCGACCTGCAAATGGCTCTATATTAGAGAAAAGGCATCGTGTTGTAAAATATAGATACTTGTTTGCCTGGTCAGGATTTGCGTTCCAGGCAAGTCTAAATTCATGTTATATAAGCAGAATGGTGGGCAAAACGTTTAGAAAAGATAAGAGGA